CCACAGTGGGGAGGGGTCTATCCAACTCTCACCCCACTACCTGTGCCCACAGGTCTGCAGAGCGGCCAGGCCAGAAAGGACAACAGCAGCTCCCAAGACAGTGCCCCCAGCCTAACACAAGGAAGGTGTCCCTGTGGCTGCCCCAAGAGTCAAAACACAGCTCTGTGTCAAATTGGCCCTCGTGCAGAATCCAAGGGTGGAGAGGAGCCCAAAACAGCCAGGTGGTGCGACGGATCGGCTTACAGTCTCTTCGTTCATTCAACAGCTGTTTCCGGAACACCTACTACGTGTGGGGCTAGAGCCAGCCAAGCTGGCCTGTCTCCCCGACCCTGGCCTCTTGCTGGGAACTCAACAACAAGGCCCACTGGCAGCACTGGCAGGAAGTCCCCGCATCCTGGGGTGGTGGGCAGTTGGACGTAGGCAGGCCTCACTCTAAAAATGCTCTCACCCCAAAGAATTTACAAATGGTCAAGGTCACGGAGATGCTAACGACCCTAACTTGAGTGTTACACAATGTACACATGTATCAAAGCCTCACACCATAGCTGCACAATTATTACATGTCAACTGAAACTCAAAGCAAGCACAACTCTGATGAGAAGAAGGGCCCTCTCCCAAACAGCTAACAGAGGAAAAGATGTAGATATTCACAAAGGGACAAGGAAGCAAAATCAAAGTCAACATGCACAGGGTCCTGGGCCCAATCCCCAGTGCACGTGGGTGCGCGCGCGCACACACACACACAGAAATCAAAGTCTCAGGCTCCCACTGACCAAAGTTAGGACAAGTGGAGAATCTAAAAGAGGACTGACTGCAATAGACTGAAACTCATCCTATGTAAATCCATTCATTCATTCTGATAGCAAAAAATAAAAACACAAACCTTTGGAAAGTCCTAAAAATTCAGTTGGTAAAACTTGACATAAAGGGGAAGAAATGAAACATTTTTGCAGGCTTTCATGTACATACTTAACATGGGAACCACCAAGTAGCCAAGCCCTTGCTAGAGCAATTCCGTCTAACCAAGAAGACAGAAAGGGAGCCTTACAACATCCTTGCTCTATAATCCCTAAAGAAATAATGGACCAGGGCAACGATGATTGACAACTGCTAAAATATTAGCAGAAAAACTGATGGGGAAGATGCTACAGATGGATCAGTCTGCCAGCACCAAACTAGCTCACCAGTCACACCCACAGGGACCCTGGACATGACCCTTGAGCAAGGCAAAGGTAAGTGCACAGTGACTCCTGAGAGGACTCAACCTGAACCTTGTACCCCAAATTGACCAAATCTCTAGATGAGTGATCTTTGATAGAAATACAATGTGACCCAGCAGTGGTGGTACAGACCTGTAATCACAGCACTCAGGAGGCTGAGGCAGGAGGATCACAAGTCCGAGGCCAGTCTAGGCTACACGGAGAGAGCCTGTTGAGGATGGGAGGGGACGGGAGGGGGGAGGGGAAGGGAAGGGAAGGGAAGGGAAGGAAGGACAGGGGAGGGGAGGAACAACGTGAGTCATATTGTACCACAAATTTTGTGGTAGTCACATTTTTAACAAGTAAAAGAAACAGGAGGAACCAATGTTAGTAATACATTTTATTTAACCTAATATAGCCAATATATTACAATATACAATATCAAAAAAAATCAGTGAAGGTGTTGGTGGCTCACTCCTATAATCCCAGCTACTCAGGAGGCAAGATCAGGAAGATCTTGATTTGAAGCCAGCATGGACAAGTATTTCCCAAGACCCTATCTCGAAAACACCCAACACAAAGAAGGGCTGGTGGAGTGGCTCAAGCAGCAGGTGTGCCTACAAGTGTAAAGCCCTGAATTCAAACTCCAGTACTGCCAAAATAAATTTACAAATCATCAATAAGATAGTTTACGTCCTTTCTTCACACTAAGTCTTTAAAGTCTGCGTATATTTCACACTTTTAGCGAACACCTCCATGTGGACCACCCATCTCTCCACTGCTCAGTTGCAAGAATACCAGCAACGAGGTGTCAGTCACGGTCCACTTGGACAATTCACATCACCAACTTGCTGTGACAACTGTTTGCCCAGAGGCCCTGACGGCAGGTCTGTGGAGCCCCGGGCGGCTGTGAGGAGCGAATGTCTCCTAGCCCCTGAGCAGACTTTGAGAGCCATAAATTACAGCTCTGAGGAGCAGCAGTGTGGTGGCAGGATGCTGACGGTGCTGTCGTCAATGCAGAACACTTACAGGGTGAAGTCAAAGCCAAAGCCAGTGGGACTTTTGCCAAATGTCCCAGCAGAGATACAAGAAAAGCACCTGCGTCTAAAATTACAGTGTAAATTGAACACAAAATGAGGTTCAATTTGGCAGCCAGATCCGATCAGGCACAGTTGCTAGGGAGCAGGGCTTCCTGGCAAGAAGGCTGAGCTCCTGACAAGGGCCCTCACCACCATACTATGTCCCAAGGGCCCCTCTTCTGGCTCCAGTCTCCAGGAAAGTGAGCTGTTCAGGGACAGGGAGACAGGAGGAGAGCAGGATGGGGGTCTGGATTAAGACCCAGCCTCTGAGATGTGCAGCTGGAGCAGGCAGGTCACAAGAGACTCAGGGCCAGGCCAAGCCAGGCCAGACCTTGGGTGGCCCAGGCAGGATTCCCAGGCTCCAGAATCAGGGTCTAAGTCCCCATCCCAACTCAAGAGGAAAGCTCTGCTTTCAGGGACACTGGTCCCACCTCTTAAGATGACTGGAGGAAGGGAGGCAGACAGACACAGACAGGGTAGGAGAGAAAGCCAGACGGACCATGGCTCCCTGAGCACCCACCTTATGTCAGGTACCTCAGAAGATCATTCCACTTTTACAGCTGAAAAACCCAAGTTCAGAAAGATGCCAGAGATGGTGTAGGCAGGAGGAAGGACCCTCTATTTCAAGCCCAAGTGCTCATCTCTAAAGCCAAGCTGACCACCCCCAAGGACACGCGGACACCTGGGGGGTCTGCTGTGGGGGTCCTGCCCAGGCCCTTCTCTTTGCACCTATCTGCCCATCTGTGAGACAGAGCTAACAAAAGCTCGCCAGAGTGGGGGTGGCATTGGAGGATGCAGGAGGAAGGCATGCCACACAGTGTGGGCATCACCTGCAAAGGAGCTCTTTGTAGGGGCCTGTGGCCTTCTCTTCCTAAAGTGTAGACTTTTATTTGAAAAGTGATACACAAACGGTCCCTTCCAGTCATGAAAGCTGCTGCTCCAGAAGTGAAAAATGAAAGGGAACCTGAACTGCACTCTAATTCACCTCAGGCAGTGGGGCACTTGTGCCGAGCAAGAAGAGGGTTCCGCGTTCCGGGTGCCCACATTCATTACGTGCCCCATGTTGCAGATGCCAAGAGAGCTCCGCTTGAGCCGTGACACCTGCTCTCCTAAGCATTCCCTAGCCAAGCAGCCCAGCTGACAATGCCCCTAGCAGAGAAGGGCCCAGGACAGGATAAGGACCCCACCCTGGCCCTGGCTTAGTCCCTCCAGTAGGATCTGGTACGATCAATCCACACACTATCCCAGGGTTCCCTCCTGGGCCACTGTCTCAAGGCAGGTGGCAAGTGTCAGAAGTCCCAGCGGGGTTTCAGAATGCCTATCCATATTCCAAAAGCCTATTACCTTTGACTCAGATCTTCCCTGACTGGGACTTTATCCTGGAGTCACTCTTGCATTTGTTCCAAAAACATCCTGGTGGCCATCACTGCAACGCTGGTCAAAAGGGCCAAACGCCGGAAACGCGCATACGTGGAGGAGTCTGTAGCCAAACCGACGCCGTGCTGTACGACAACTGCTACTGTCCAGTGGAAGGCTGACATGAGGGTATGTATGGGATTCTGTCATTTGTTTAAACATCAAAAGAGAAATAAAATTTGTATGCATTTACTTCTGTATACATAGAATATCTCCGGGGAGGCCCAGAAACGTGTGACTGTGTGCCTCTGGGAAGAGGAGGAAGTGGCCAGGCATGGGTACAGGGACAATTTTCACTGTACTTCCTTTGTTCCCTGAGACCTCTTCATAGTAAGGTACTCTGCATTTGAAAATAAATGCATGTGTTTAATATTTCAAGACAATAGAAAGCAGTTGTAGTACTCGGTTTGCTTCTGAACTGCTCTTTGCTGTTTCTACCACCTCTAATTCCTCTCTTAAACATGTGGTGGGTGGACAGGCTGCCATTTCCCAAACAGGCTTTGCTTAAAAACCTGAGAATACCAGACAGGAAATAAAGTGAATGGCAAAAACCACCAGAACAGTCCAGCCCCAGCGGGCTGGGCCAGTGTTCCCCGGGCAGCCATGGGACCCATGGCCCCAGCACAGCTGGATACACCTGACACAGCCTCTCCCGAGAGCCCAGGCCTCTTATTTCTCCAAGAACGCTGATACAAAGCACCCCAAAGCCACCCAGCCAGGAATTTCATTCAGGTCTCACGTTTAATCTTATAAGCCTTGTGAACACCGAATTCCACTCCAAATCTGTGCCTACTTTAATACAAAATAATATTTTAAATGACTCCCTGCTAAACAGCTTAACCTCTGCCCCCTTGCCGAATCTCGCAACAAAGATGCTGCCAGAAAGGCGTTCCATGTTTTAGATTACACACCAGAGAAACTGCTTGGCCTTTCCACCTCTCAGGTAAAACGCTCATTCCAGGAAGACAGGACACGTCTTAGATTCTGTATTACTTAAATGACTTAACCTTTTCCCTCTGAATCGACAAGTCAAAGTGACACATGGGGAAGAAATGCTGAATTTAGCCTAGGGTTTCTCCAACAGTTACCCGTGCAAGCCCAGAACCACAAAGGCCTAGATCCAATTGCAGTTCAGCCGGGTTTTAGCTGTGTGGCCTGGAGGATGTTCCTCAAGCTCTCTGAGCCTTGCTCTGCTCGTCCATAAAATGAAGCTGAGAACAGTCCAACCCACTGGAGATAAAAGAGTTGTAAGAGGATGAGTGAGACTGTCTGTCTGTGCTCAACTCAATGGTCAGCACATACATACCAAGCACCCCATAGATGGCAGTCCTTACTCCTGACTCAAATCAGCTACAATTTCATGCAGGAGAGACTTGAAGCTCAGAAGGAAAGACAAGCTTCAGAGCAGAGTTTCCTGATGCTCCTCACTAAATCTTCCTCACACAGCCTGATGGAAAGGGATGAATCTTTTAGTCCCAAACCAAGAAAGCACTAACTAGAGCTACTTACCCTCCAGAAGGGACCAAGAGCCCAGCCCTGCCGGGCCCAAAACACTCAGGCCCCAGGCTCTACTGCCTTTGGAAACCAGAAGGGAAATGACTGGATGAAACCAGAAGCTGCCCAGGCTGTGGAAAGCCCGCCCTAGCCAGGAGGCTCAGGAACCCACAGCAGGAGTGTAACACTACAGCTCTTCCCCAACAGGCACAGTCACCTTCTCCTGGGCACACAATGGGGTTCCACTTCTGCATCCCTACTGGCCCCTCTAAATTGTATGCAGGAATGACCACGTAACCTGCCTTGGCCAATGAATGTAAGCTGGCAGGCATCTACAGTGGCCCAGGTCATGGGTACACACGCTGAACCATCAGCCTGGGTCCTGGGCAAGAGGACGTACAAGGCCCCTACAGATGTGCCCTGGACGACTAGCCTGGAGGGGAATAAACCTCCAGTGTGTGCAGGAACTGCTGGGCGGGTCTGTCTGTCACTGCAGCAGGCCCCAACCCGACTGGCTGAAACAAAGGATTCAAGAATCTGGTAACAGCAACACTTCTCAAACTCTCTCTGTGGGGAAAACAACATTTTAGGTAATTTTCAACCCATCACAGATGGATACTTTTGAAATGAAAATGTCACTGTAATGTCAAGTTGCTAGAAGGTTCTTACTCCTGCTTCCTGTACTTACCTCTTCACAGACTGGTAGCAAGCAGTTTACAGGTGGGCTCAGGCTGCAGACCACACCGGGAGCAGCCAGGACAGCAGTGCTGCTCAGGCGGCTGGAGGGCCCAGCACCAATTCTGACAGCAGAGAAATAATTGAACCTTTCCAAGTCTCAACGGCCTGTTTGGAAAATAAGGGCTTTCAGGAGCAGCGTTAAATATAATATACCCAGAGCACGAGGCCAGGTAGGAGGTGGGCTACTGCCTGTCCTGTTGCCCCAGGTGACATGTGGAGCCTAGCTTAGAGATCTGGTGCATGGCCATGGGCTGCAACTTCCAAGGACAAAGCAGGGGGCTGAGAACTGAAATTCACATCCACGCATCCACTTTAAGATGAGATGACCAGACCTGCGTCTAAAGGGAAGGGCTGTCTGAGTCTGGACAGCCAGCCTGGTGGTCTGCTGAAACCAGAGCATAACCTGGTACCATGGGGAAATCTTAAGATAATTTGTAACCTTTGGAAACCTATGTTCACTGCCACTAGTAAGATGCCTCTGTGATGGACTCCCCTCGTAAGTGACAGGACAGGCAAGAAAGGCTCCATATGGCTAAGGAAGACACAGCAAAGTCACACAGCAGAGCCATGCTCGGTGACCCAGGCCTGGGTTCACTCTACAGCAGGGTGCCCAGCAAGCCCAGCTTCCCTGAGACTGAAGCGTTTCTTGGAATCTGAGAATTGCAATTTTATAAAAGGCCACTGGGACAACTCAGTACCCGCCTCCAGAACCTGTATTTTCCAGCCACAATACCTAACACTGCTGCACACCCGCTGGGAGGCCAGAGGACACCTCTGCTTACAGGCTATCCAGGAAAGCCACAGACCTCAACATCCTGCAAACACTGAAGGACAGAGGCGCACCTGGGGGGACAGCAGTGGGTCCACAGCCTGGGGATGGCCTGCCCTAAGGCCTGTCAGGAAAGGGAATGCATAAACACCACTCATACACTCAAAGGCCTTTGTCTCGCTGGCTTTTTTTTTTTAATCTTTAATTCAAACAATAGGTAATCAGAATATGCTTGGTCAATACCACACTGCCATAATTTGCCAAACAAAGATCACAAAGATCATTAACAGCAGTTCTCAGAAGGGTGGGTCTTAGATGTGACCTCACTTCCCAGAGAGGCCAGCTCTGTCTTCCCTCTTGGTCTCCCCACTCTCCCCAGCATGACGCCCAAATGCCTGGCATGTGTGAGATGCCCATGGATCGCAAAGACATCTCCATTCCACGAGCAGCCCAAGAGAGGCAGTCTGGGTGCTCTATGGCCACACCACCTCCCCCTCACAGAGCCAGCACGTCCCCAAGATTGTCCTAAACTCTGGATACATGCGCTGACCCTGTAATCAACCCTCCAAGCCAGATCCATCTGAGAATAAATGGGGCATGACTCATTATTTCACCAAGATGACAAATGCAGCCAGGCTGTGGCAGGCCAAGTGGGAGGGGCAGTCACACACTGATACGACACCTCGAGATCCCACCTAGAGAGGCAATGTGGCCCACTGGGTACAGCTAGACTCTGAGGCCAGAGTTTAAAGCCTCGGCCTAAGGCCCAGCGCTGCCACCTACCTACCAGATGAGTGACAGACCCTCTCTGGGCTCAGTTTCCTCATCTGTACGATGGAGCTAGGTAGCAGCAGCCTGGTGCAGATTCCACTATTTAATATTCGCAAAGTCAGAATAGGGCCCAGTGTGAAGGAGGCGCCTTCTGTGTGTTTACTGAGTAAAATACATCCTCCTCCCATGCTTAGAATGGACAGTATAGTCATCAGGGTTTCACAAATAAGGAAACAGAGGCAAAGGGGGCTTAAGTAATTTGCAGTTGTTGGCAGAACCAGATTCACAGCTAGGATTCTGGGCTGTGCCTTACTCACCCACTGCCTGGCAGGCGGCCGCCAGCCACGTCCCTCTCTCTGCTTCAGGAGTCTGGGACTCAGCTCAAGTAGGAAGCAAGGAGCCCTGAGAGGTGCACAACCCAGGACATTGCCAGAGCTCCCGTGGGACCAGCAGTGGCTAACGCAAAGGAGGGGATCGGGTCCCCTGAGGCCTTGGGCACATGCAAACCAAGAGGCACCAGCCCCAAACAGGAAGGCTATCGCTGGCTGTGCGTCACAACCCCAAGTTCCCCTTTTTGTTTCTTGCCAAATTACTCGATCTCAGAAATTCCTCTGCAAGACAAGACTGAAATGCAATCTCCAACCCCATCAGGCTAAGGGAATTTCACCAACACAAACGGCTGAGAACGCCAGGAAAACCGAGGGTGCCTGCCTGGAGTTTCAGGTTCCTGGTAGGTCTTCGAAAGCTCCAGCGCACAGCAGCAACTGGAAGCTGCAGGAAGTGGTTTGCCTTTGCTTATTTTCCAAAGGATAACCACCAGATTTGCTCGTAAAAACTCTGTAACCAATTGGCAGAGGGCACCTGCACAAGCCAGTGACTTCTCGCATCCTTGGGGTTTCTCCTCACGTTGCTTTAATTCACGGCCTTTAAAGAAACGCATGCTGGGGCCTTGGTGCGCGGAAGGAAGGAAGGGAGGGAGGAAAGTGGAGGGAGAGGGAGTGGTGAAGGGGAGGGGAAAGAAGATATTTGGAAGAAAACCCAAATTCATCAAAGCCAAGTGGAGCCCAGTCCACAGCCCCCATCGTGACACCCAAGCAGTACAGAGCCTGGACTGAGAGGCCAGGGCTGGAGCTGGCATGGCTGATGAGGGAAAGGTCAGAGACGCAAGAGAATGGCTGAAGAGGCTGCCTCCTCCCTGGAGGCTGGGTGTACTCTGGGCGCAGAAGAATGGGCACCCCCAGGAAGGATGACCCAAGCCAAGCACAGGGACAGGTAGCACCCAGAGGGTGCTGGGGGCCCAGCCAGGCCAACACAGAGGAAACTGAATGTTCCAACAGGCCAAAACAGGAGCGCCTCACCCTGACAGGCCCAGGCTTGAGTCCGAAAGCTCCAGCAACAACTGCGGGCCCTGGGTGGGGCCGGGAGCTGCCCAGTGTTCATACTCAGGGGCTCTGTTGGAGGATGGAAGTAAGGAACATGAGGACAGCCAGGAAGTGGATGACTGGACCAGGAAAGTATCTATTTCCTGCTACAACCTCATGGGAAGCCTTCAGAAGTCACTCACTTTTGCCCCCTGCAATGAGGCCACAAGCTCAGACCCATCCACAAAGCCAACTGGGGGATCTGGAGAAGGACAGGACCATGGGGCACTGGAGCAGACGGACACTGGATGAGGACATAGTTTGGTCAGGGCTGCCTCCCTCGCTGAGGTACAAGCCAAGCAGAAGGTGAGCCATGGCAAGGCAGGGTGGACGTGTCCAGACCTGCAGAACCACTTTCCTCCCCATCCTGTGAGGAGCAAACAAAACAATCTAAACTAGAGCCTAGGGTGGGCTCAGGGATATGTGAGTGTGTGTGTGTGCATGTGTGCGAGTGTGCTGTGTGTCCTCCCATGCAGGTGAGGTGAATGTGCGTGTGACCTGGAGAACGAGGGCTCCGTGGTGTGTCCACACAGAGGATGCATGGCTGTGCGTGTACGAAACGCACACCCACCAGCATGAGAAGCAGTGTCACATCAGGGAGGGCCAAGAGCCTGGACTGGACCTGAGCTCTGGCCTTGCTCTCTGTGAGTGTGTGATTCTGGGCAAATGACCTAACTTCTCCAGCCTCAGTTTCCTCACCTGCAAAATGAGGCTAACAACAGTAACTACCTGTGTCACTAAATGAGTCAAATAAATTCCTATGTGAGCACTTAGGACCTCTAGGAAAAGGGCCCTTCATATGTGTGGAGAAAAAGTGCTGAGTGCAGGTGAGCAGTTCCACAATTGTGCACATGGGTCTATGCACACGAAAAGGTGTACACAGCACAGAGTAAACAGGGGCGTTTTCACAGCCAGGGGCAAGAATACGTGAGCTGGATGTGCAAGACAGGGTGTGTCAAGTTTGTGAACATATGTGTTGTGTGTATCCACAACTCCTGGGGGAGGAAGTGCATGCCAGTGCTGAGGACACTGCTTGCGGACGTCTAACAGGAAGGAAGGAGCGGGAACATGACCAAGGAAAGGACGCAGAGACACATGACAAGGACCACACACAGGGCATGGTCTGTACCAGGACTCTACATACATTATCACAGACCCCTCCTGGCAGCCTGGGGAGGAGTGTGCCCTTCTATTCAGTTGAGGGACCCAAGTTCTGACAGGGTATGGAGTCTGCCAGTGCCCACAGCAGGAGGAGTGGATTCCACCCGTGTCTGACCTTGGAATCTGTCCTCTTGCATCTCACTGGTTCTGAGAACAAATGAGTGGATGAACAAATGAACACGTGTGTATGAATGAATGAACAAAGAACAATGAAAAGAAACTGAAACTTGATGTCAAATGAGTGCTTGGGAGGCACAGACGCTGCTTTCCAGGAGCCCTGTAATAGATGCTACCCACTGGGGAGGAGGGTGACAATGGGCAGCCAGGGCCCTGCACCATGCTGGCAGAAGGTGACGTCTCTGTCCAGGACTACAGCAGCAGAGAGGGTGGTGAAGCCCTGCGTGTGCAAGCTCCCAAGCTCACAGACAACCTTATGGCTTCATAGGGCCAGAATTCTGCAGCCTTCCAAGGAGATTCAGAATGCTGGCATCCCAAAGTCTCATGGGATTGTACATGAACAAGACCCCAGCTGCTAAGACCCAGCTACCCTCAGAGAGCCAGCCTGCCAAGCCAGGATGTCACCAGCACGATGACTTATTACTGTGACTTCTCAGAGTAGACTGTGTGGTAAGGTCCCACAGGGGTCAAGCCAAGGAAACAAGAAAGTACCAGAGCACCTCTTGGAAGCCACCAGCTGGGTTTAGGGCCTCTGGAAATGGCCTGCTGAGAACCCACCTTGACAGATCAGCAGCACTGGGCTCCAACCCACAGCTCAGCATAGGCTGGAGAGGCGGCTCAACCTCACTGAGCCCCAAGCTCTTTCTGCGGAGTCAACTGCCAAGGGCTGTTGGTGAGAGACACCAGCACAAGGTCTAAAACACACATCTCAGGACATGTGGTCACCTTCGACATGACGGCTGTTCTTATAAATGGTGACCATGGGGCTGAATTTACCTGGTAGATACCAGGTGCCACTGGCTCTGCCTGCCCCATCAATACTGGGAACCCAAGTCCTCAGCTCCCTCTGCACTGAGACCCTGCCACAACCCAGATGCTCTTAAGGGGCACCCAGGGCACCACTGTGAACCCCCTCCACAGCCTTTTCCAATCACCAAACTTGCTGGCCAGTAAGAGTGAGCAAAGGGCCAGCTGCCAGGCTGTGGGTGGTGTCCTGGGCACTGCCTCCCAACTGGTTCTGGTTTCTTGGAGTTGCCCTTTGCCTCTTTCCCCCCATTCTGTTTACCAAAATGTTCTTCTCAAATTCTGATCATTGTAACTGGAAAAAGTCAAAGAGATGAGGCATCGGGTGTCAAACTGTGTCCCCTGGACTCTAAGGTCCTCAAGTGTGCTCTGCTGTCCCTGGAGACTGGCGCCCACCTCCACCCAGACAACACCTTCCATTCAAAGTGTCATCTGAGAGATGTGACACCAAATTCATGGAGAGCTCATGCACAATATCCACTTAACTGACACCTCTCCCAAGCAGTAGGCCCCACAACGTCACGGAATTTTATGTTTGGCTCACTGCTGTATACTCAGCATAGCAGGCACAACAAATACCAATTTAATGTTTAATTAAATAAACGTGATGACAAATAATGCGTGATGATGTCACTTACTGGGGGCAGGCCCCATTCCTACACCCAGAGTGCTCACAGCAACGCTCTGTGGTAGGCCTGTTAGTATCCCTACTTTACAGACAGCAAAACTGAGGCACACTGAGCTGACACCCTGTACTTACAGGTCTCCAAAGCCCCACCTGTTCCCACATCCTACAACAGGACCCAGCTTCCTTAGTTCCAACCTCACCCTAGCATCATCTCTTCTGGGATGTCGGGGATCATCACACAAACATACATGTTTTGAGAGCTGAGGAGGCTGAGCGCTAAGAGCTTCCTGTCTTGCTGGAAAAGGAGGTGGAAGAAAATGACAGCCACAGTAATTGAGGGAGGGTCCAGAAGCAGTGGCTTCCAGGAGGAGGTGACAGCTCTCAAGGGGTCTCAGTACCTCCAAATGGCAGTGGCTACCTGCTATAGAGTTCTGCCACTCCTTCCTTAAGCACAAAGGAAAAGGAGCCCAGGACATCTCAGACAAGGGGACACACCTGTCCCCTCTGGAAAGTGGGTCTGTGACTTTAGCCTGAGGCTAAGGCAGCAGGAAGGCTCTGGACATCACCCTAAGCCATGGAGTGAGCTCCTGCCATTCTCCCCACGTGGGACCACACCCCAAGCGCCTGTCCCATCCTTCCCTGGGCGCCAGGGCGGAAATCCGTAACTTCCCTCCTTGCAGGAAATGGAGCCACTGCCGCCAGGGCTGGCTTGTTGTTCCCTACACATCTACCCAGGCACGCCGGGCCTGTCTAAGCAGCCACACCCCTTGGCTGCCTTGCTCTAAGAGGCCAGCCTCCCCTGGGCCACACTCTGGCTCTCCCTCTCTCCTCCTAGGCTTGAACAGTCCTCATCCCAGACCCTGTGCTGCAGCGGTGGGTCTCATGATACTGATGATGGCCAATGGTAAGTGAGCACCAACACGTGCCAGGCACTTTGTAGTCATGAAGCTGCTAATTCAAACCCATGCCATAGGGGGCACGATGAAGTCTGTTTCATGGAAGAAACTGAGGTCCACGGGGGCACCTAACTTGCCCAAATCCCTACAGTGTCCAGGTGCATAAGCCCATCTGATTCATGGATTTACTACGTGTGGTTTGGGCCAAGCTCAGTTAAAAGAAATAAATGAAAAATCAGAAATTTCAAAAACAAAAACTTTTAATTCATGTACATGCATTACACAACTCATACCAAGTTATCATCAGTTGTGTTTAAATCTTTGTGTGATCTGCTGAGTGTTTCCTGCCCTTTAATTTGAGAAAATGTTGCCTCCAAAAAAGTCAGTGGTGCCCAAAAAGCAGGTAAAAGTGAATGTGCTAAGTGAAGTGATAATGTGAAAATTTTAGACTTGCTGCAAGGCGGCACATCTTTAGTGGAAGTTGGGCATTCCGGGAAAATGAATCCGGCATCCTCAGTGCAGTGCGGAGCTCTATGCATCCAGAGCATAAGTGGTTTTCCCTCAGCAGTGCTCTCTTTGGAACCACAGAGCCACGGACACCAAGGGCCTGCTGTACAAGGCATCGCCATTGACGTAGGGTGAGTCACATCTCTGCCACACTCTGTGATCTCTGGCTAGTTCCATACTACTCTATGCCCCAAGGTCCTCACATGTGAGGTGGAACAGGGATGACCAACTCGTACGCTTGCTTGGCAGGCTGGATGAGAGAGCACCTGCTGCTGGAAGCTCTGCATAAACAGCAGCTATTATTATTATTTATCTATCTATCTATTTTGCAGTATTGGGGTTTGAACTCAGGG